TCGGGAGGCTGAGGCAGGAGAATGGCGTGAACCCGGGAGGCGGAGCTTGCAGTGAGCCGAGATCGCGCCACTGGACTGCAGCCTGGGCAACAGAGCGAGACTCCGTCTCAAAAAAAAAAAAAAAGAAAGAACAAAAAGAAGGCCCAGCTGGTATTTGTGCTTCTTCCGGTGCAATTTCTTGATAATACTCCCCAGTTTTCTACTCTGTAAAAACAAGGTGTTAACAGCTCCCTCTCTGGGCTCCTGTAGGAACTACACTCAGGGCATCAATGCCTGGCCAGAGGCCTGGCCACACCTGGGGCCTCACCGGCCCGTCTGCTCCTCAGACCTTTCATGAGCTGCTTTTATTTTGCAAAGTGTTTGGTTTTCACTTGGTTTGATAATAATTTTGTCCTGAAACTTATGGCATAAGGTTAAGATTCCAAACCTAGACCATTCTCGCTGCCTTTTTATTTAGGGACTAGGAGCAAGACTGTGTTGCTGGTTATCCCAGTAACGATGGTGTCCTGAGCTGAGTTGCAACTGAGATGCAGAAAAGTAGGCTCAGCCTTGTTCTGAGGCGTGGAGTTGAGAGGAGTCAGACGGCTCCATTGCAAACAGGACTGGCTGCATGCTCATGGATCCCAGTGCATAAATGGAAACACAGGGCTCCGTGTTCAAAAATGAGCAAACATTTCAAGATGGCAGCAGCCAAGCCAAGCATGGAGCTTTCTGAGTGCAGGGTCTTGCATTGCTGCCCGCGTCTCGTGCAGCCGTGAAGACGGCCGTGATTGGAAACAACAGGCTCCCTTCACAGCAAATCCTCCCTGGACAGGAGAGTGCTGGCATGTCGTGGGGTTGTGAGCACCGCCGGAGGGAGAGGAGGGTGCGATCATGCAGTCCTGGAGGGCTCTCCCCCCCTGCTCCCATGGCTCCTCACTGTGCCTGAAGAGGGTGGTGGCCACAGCTGTGTGGCGGGAATCCTCCATTCCGGCCTGGCCACTGGCCAGCTTGTGGCCTTGGGGACATCTTTGGCCCCTGGGCCCTCTAAGCCTGCGGTCCTTCAAGTGAAAGGCGGCTGCTCCTCACTCACTTATGATGCCTGCTCTTTCCCTCCCTTCCATGCACAGAAATTCATTGAGTTTGAAGATGCTCTGGAGCAAGAGAAGAAAGAGCTGCAAATCCAGGTGGAGCACTACGAGTTCCAGACGCGCCAGCTGGAGCTGAAGGCCAAGAACTATGCCGATCAGAGTAAGTGGCTGGCGGGAGCCTGGGGGTGCACCTGATGGGCGCTGCCCTGGGACGGCTCTGGCTGGGGAGGACGTGGGGTGCCTTCCACACAAGGGGACGAGAGGAAGCCCAGTGCGAGCCTCAGCTATGTATTCCAGCTCTTTGCACTGCTGCCTGTTTCTGTAATGGGCCCCAAATTGTGTGTGGACATAAGCAAATAAGGTCCCTGTGGCCCCAGAGCACTTTTGCTTCAGAGTGGATTCTGACCCCCAGATCACAAGTCTGAGGTCCTGAAGGTCCTTCCTGCACCTTTTGAACAGAGCTCCTGCAGCCCTGGGTCCCCACCTCTTCGCACTGCTGAGGAGTGACGGCTTCTTCTCAGGCAGGAGGATGGGCCCGATGGTGTAGCCCCACTGGAGTGACAGCACCTAGGTGGGGGCACAGCTGATCAGGGTGTCTGTCCCCTGCAAGGCGAAGTGGCAAGAGGGGTTTATTATTATTATTATAGGAACAATTGGTTTACTTATCTTTAAAAGTCTTTGCTTCAACTCTACTGTCAATGTTACAGGCCAGGCATGACGGCATGCGCCTATGGTCTCAACTGGGCTGACATTGAGGCTGCAGTGTGGGCACAGAGAGACTCCATCTCTTAAAAAAAAAAAAAAAAAAAAAAAAAAAAGGGGCTGGGC